TGTTTGATACTAAGGAGTCTAGTTTACCTAAAGGATTAACTCACATTCATTGCTTTAATTGAGTCACATTAATTTCTTCCACTGTTACAACAATTTCGATTTCAACCATCTCTCCTATGCACACGCATTAAGCATACGCAACGTGCGCCCAGTTTATGTTCCGAACTCAAAGCTTTTATGCCAACATTTTATTGATGCACACCGAACCACAAAGAGACATGGTTGTGGTGGGGTTTTTGAGGGGGAGGGAGGGGGGCAGGATAAAGGGCACACCCAGTATCCATCTGCACCAAAAATTGTCACAACTGGCAGGGATACCAATGCTACTGCTCCTGCTCCTGCTGCAGGACGTAATGTGCGTGAGTGTTGTGTGTGTTTGCTGAATGTGTCCTGCATTTTGGGCAAGAAATTAAGTTGCATTTTCATTATTTTCGTATAGCCAGGCAGCCGTTTGGCCATTCGATTCGCTCGACTGGGCCACAGTTCAATTATAAACTGCCCAAACGGGCACTGAGAGAAATTTTATGATCGAGAAGTCTAGGAAAATGTTTGAAAACTTAAATTATTAAAAGAAAATAATAATTATTGTGTGCTTTAAGTTTGAGTAAGTTTTACATTTTCAATTGGCAATTACTAAAGCATTTTAATCTTGCACAAAATTTTAAAGACTTCTTTATATTAATTTGGCAGGGAATTTTATAACGTATACGTAACATTCGAAATGAAGGAAAAATACTTTGACTAATAAATCGATCTGTAACCATACACGAATAATTTTAAGTAAACAGCTTTCCATAAGAAATTTATCAAGTATTATCCCCTTGTTGCCAGTGTAAATCGGGCTAAGCTTGAGGTCCTGGCTGGCTATGTCTATGTGTTTGTTTGCATGTTGTTTTTCCTTTTCGGCTTCAGTGAATCTTTGTTTGTCAATTTGCTGGGTTTTCTTTGTTTTTTCTTTATTTTTTTGGTTCTAGTTTTATGCTGCTGGTGCTACTGGCATTTGGGAAACTCCGTTGCATCTTTAAAGGTCCGTGCCGGGCAGGAATATATGTATGCACACAAAGTGAAATGAAATTCTCCCCAAGGAACCCGGGCAAATGCTTTTTTTTTTTTGGTTTGGTTTTGAGTTGGTTGAAAAACTACCCCATTGGCAAGCGGAAATGCAAATTGTCGTGTGCGCATGTTGTTACAAATTCAAAATGACAATGGAGACGCTCCGCTCCACACAGAGCCAACTAACCGTGCAGTCAACTTGGTCGCAACTTGAGGCGCCACTAACCATCGTCCCCTGATTCCTTCTCCCGCCCCAAGATAGTCCTTCGAAAAATACGATAACCCAGCTAGAGTGAACATCGAGGAGTCATCTGCATTAGCCGGGCTCCACTGCGCTCTTCAAGAGCTCCAATCGCTTAAAGCCGAAAGACTTGTCCTTGTTTTTAGAGAAGGTGCAGTTCATGAATGTCACACGATTTGTATGCTAGTTATAATAATAAATATAAATCAAGTTTTGTTTATATTCTTTTGATATGATTACCATGTTCTAATACCTTTCCAGAAATATTTTTGGAATGCAATATTTTGTACTGTACTGCATTTTAGCATTATATCGACACTTGTCAGTTACTCTTCTATTTCTTTTTTGCATTTTGCATGCGTGAAAATTTTCAGCAGCTGCATTTTTCATCCTCGTCCGGCTTCGCATCTATCTTTTCACTGGAGCCACATGCTGGCGAAAGTCATTTTTCTTATTTGAGAGTTGTGGCCAGCTCTTGGGGGTACGTGCCACGCCCATTTTCTGACACCAAAGCCCGTCCCCCTGCAGATATAAGCCATATAAAGTCGAGCTTCGGGCGCGGCCTTGCTGTGCAGCTTCGTATTTTATATGGGACTCAAAGGACATCGGTGCCTCTGCCTGATGATGATGCGTCTTCCGCAGCTCTATCTTTCTAATATTTTATAGGTATTCTACAGCTGGTCTTCTATATTCTTTTGAGAGCATTTATATTTCAAATATATTTTGGCGGTTCTCCAATTAACACCAAAAGATGAAGGCAATTATTATATTTCTTTGCGATTATTATAAATAAAAAATTGTACTTGATAAATGTATGCTAGTTATTAAGCTTTCATGTAGCACTCTGGTATTAGCACTTCCCTTCTAAAAAAGAGGTCTGAAACGCACTTCTCCTGTTGAAAAGGAGCTCTGTTCAGGCCAAGCCAAGGCTGTCCGCGACAGCAACTTTTTGAAGCTTGCCAACACTTAAAGGAAAATAAAAAAAATAAGGAAAATAAAGGAAAAACTGAACAAAAAAGAAAAAGCAAAAGGCGAAGGACATAGTACTGCTATCAAGTACATAATTTGAGCATTTCATGAAACCCGCTGCAATTTTACGCAGCGAAATTTTGCTTTTATTTTTCTTCTGTTTCTTGTTAACTTTGGTCTTTTTGGCCAATTCTTTTCCGCCTCTCGTCGCTGCTGGCTTTCGTCGGACGTGGACAGTAATTATAAGGCCATTAGCAGGACGTTAGGAAAAGGAGGAAAGGACGAAAGGAGTGTCGACACTGAGAACGCATGGTTATTGTGTAAACGCATTTAGCGTAATGCTGAGCACAAAATTAAACAAGTGGCCAAGGGATTTCAGTAATGCCACAAAATGGTGAAAATAAATAAATCAAATCCTTATTAGTCGGTTAAGTAATATGTATTAAAATATAATAAAATTTGTAATGATATAAATGTATATACATTCCCTATCCAACTTTTATTAAACAATCATTTTAAAATCCCAACCATAAATTAAGATTTTACTACATGATCTCGGATATATTTATAACCCGCTTCATATTTGCCAAGAACTTACACCTTTATTCTTTCGTTTATCACCAAAATTTGTAGCTAAAAATAATAACGCGCTAAACCTCATTTAGCTCAAGGACACCTACCAACATTACACTGAAATTCGAGCACATCAAATTTCAAACTGTCATTATAAATGCCATAAAAGAGCGAAAATTGCTGGAAAAATAATGCAAATCCAAGATAGAAACGATGGGTGCTGTTCATGGTCATGCTGATGCTAAGATTATCATTAACTAAAAATATTTCTAAGTCGCTACACTACAAGAAATGTTAAAGGACAAAAAAAAAAGAATTAAATGATAGAATAGGGGAAATTAAAACTCATAGAAAAACCTAAAAAGCTTTTGTAAAATTATATGGGATCGCATACATTTTTATATTTAAAAAAAAACTCATAAATTAGTGAAAAACGGTTTATTTTTAAATCGGAAACCGTTCCTATGTTAGTTACTCAATTTAAATTTTTAAGAAAATTTAAATTTTTGCAAATTTTTAACAAATTTAACGATGTAACCCCTGATATTTTTTTTTAATTGAAAAAACAAATTTTTGAAAATTTATTATAGAGAGGGAAAACTAGTTAGGGAAATAAAGAATAATTTATACTATATATTATAATATTATATACTTTTTAAATTAATTAATGTGGATCCATGGCAATTAGGGAATTAAAAGGAAAATAAATGCATAGCTACCTATTCCTGGTGACTTCCATTAGGCTTTTCGTCATATCATCTTGTTTATCCAGATGTATTGCATGGGCCACGTCATATTTTTGGGGTCGATGAGCAATCACTATCACTATCAGATCACTTTCACTATCACTCACGATGTTAACAGGTGGAAGGCCACGGACAGACTGAGATCAGCCCGACAGCAGCGGCTGTATTTATAGCTCCGAGTAAAGAGAGCAGAGAAAGTGAGAGCGCGGGAGAAAGAGGCACCTCCAGAGATAGGCAGCCGGAGTAAGTGGGAGTAAGTGGGAGTAAGTGGGAGTAAGGGAGAGTTAGAGAGTGTTAGAGAGTGTCAGACCTATTAAACATATAAATGCAAAGAGAGAGAGAGAGAGAGAGAGAGAGTGATCGACCCGGCTGTTGATGCTAATTAGTAATATATGTATATGATTGGAAATGACTCCTCCACTGCGTTTCAAGATTCTAACTATAATTGTAATACCCTGGCAGGAGTATATAAATGTGCGTAAACTCTGAGCATTGACTAAAATTGTTTTCTTATCTTAGTATGGTAAATTAATTCTTTTAAAATCTATGTAAATTCTGTTTTGTGTTCTGAATTTGCCGAACATATTTTTCTTTCACTGTTAAACTCAGCTTCATGTACACGAGTCCTGCTCCTGGTTGTCAGGGACAACAGTCATATGAGATAGACTTACAAAGCGGATCCCCGGAATGGAGGACTTCATATAATGACCGCATTAAACGAATAACGCGTTGGCAGAGAAAATGGGTAAGGGACGTCCTGGCCTTGGCAACTGTCATTGAATTTCGCCTGGAAGCGGAAACCTGCGCTTGTTGATTATAGTTTTATCAGCGCTTAAGTTTTGGCTTTGTCCCAATTAAAACAGCAAGAAGCACACATACACGAAATTAGCACATATCTTTATGGATGCCGGGAAAAGGTAATGAAGATAGATAGTGCACAAGTTGTCCTGAGTTATCCGGCAAGCATTTGTTTTGTTTTGGGTTTTGTGGGCTAATTAAACCAAACCCATTTCATGTTTCATCTTGCAAAGATAAACGTCGCCAAAGAATCGGAGGAAGTTAACCAAAGTGAGTGGGGAAAACTTCCACTTTTTTAATGGCCAGAAGTTTCTTGTATGTGCAATAAATATGAAGGAATGACGAGGAGGGAGAATATTCCTTTTGTGAAAATTTAAACAGAATTTCTGTGACTTGCGGTTCTGTTTTATTCTGTAAAATGTACTCTACTAAATTGTCTAAAGTTATTATGAATTTATTTAATTTTTATTATTTTCTTTTGCCATTTTGTAGGTCTTCCAAGTCATAACGATTTTTCAAAAGCAGATAACTAAAATGTTTTTTTGATTATTTAATATAGGTTAATATCCGATTCATACGGGGATTTAAAAGTATCAGCTTATGCTTCCTTAAAACCCGCATTAATTTCTTCTAAAGTATTCCAGATCATATTGCACTAGATATATAAAATGCAATAAAATAGATGCATACATGGACCACGTTGAATTGCGATCGGTGGGAAATAGCTGAAGTACATTCGACTTTAAACGGTTTCGTATCAGCTGCAGTTGGAAGCTCTCAAACTGAAATGATTATCGTATTTGATTAAGGATAAGAGTAATTCCTATATAACATACAGACTCCTCCAACCGCGCATCCAATCCAGAGGCAAATAAAGTTCGTTCATTAAGGAGTTGAATCATCTCTTGCTCAGCATCTTGGACTTGAAATATTATTAAGGCGGCTTGAATAGCATCCATATGGAAGAATATACTCCATGTATATCCTAGGATACAAGTTATCAAATTCATTCCTAGTTCCCTGGGGCCATACTTCAAGCCGTTGTAGATTGAGTAACACTTGACCAGTGCGGATACGTAGTAACAGCAGTAATAAAACAACTTTTGTATTCCAAATATCGCATCCAACTGGACCACAATCGAGTTCAGCTGACTCTGGAGCTTGGCTATATTCTCCAGCTGATCAGCCAGGTCACAGCATCTGGTCATGAAGGCTCCTTTTCGGGAGGGATTGTAACTTAGATTCATGATTTCCTCGATCACCTTTTTTAGCTCTGCGTTAAGCAGGTGATATTGTGCCCGAACGCACAACATCACCTGAAAATACTGCGTTGTGGCCAGATTAATGATGGCAGATATCCAAAACTGCAAAAATATTGTAGAGAAATCCTTTTCAAAATCGATGGAAACCAAGGCAATTAAAAGTTGGGCAAAGTCTAGTAAAAGAGTATTGAGGAACTTGAAAAGCATCCACCGTCGGGATATCCTTATAATCTGAGGCCTGGACTGAAAAATTCTGATAGCATTTCTGACCACGTTCATTATTTCGGACTGGCGGCGCCAATTGTTGAGTAGAATGATAAACCCTTAAAAATTGTACAAAATATATATTAAGCGTAAAAATACTGAACATATTTATGCCAACCCGCAGAGATCCTTAGAATAGTGAGAACGATTAAGACACATCTGTATAGCTTGTTCAGTTTTTCCAAATTTAAAAAATATGTTGGCTTATGGATCAATCCTAAGCAAAAAATTGTCACAATGGTGACATTGATTGCCATTGCATAGAGAGTACTCCAAGTGCTTGTGAATACACATCCCGTCCGCCAGTCGACTTCAAAGTTACTAACTCCAATCGCGAGGCCATAATAGTAGATTAATCGAAGCAGCAAACCAGCCCAGTCGAACATTTTTTAAGTACTGACTTCCTCTAGGAAATTGTATTTAGTTTAGTTGGAAAGAGTCCCAGCTCCATACTACCAAAGATCTCTTGATTAAATCAAGTGTCAAGACTAACAAATGATGGCGGTGACTTTGAAAAGTATATGTTGAGATAAGTGTGCATTTATAAAGACCAAAAAATCAATAAATCAATAAAGTAAATGATATGAGGATGTTTTCCAAATTAGTTTATCATGAGGTTATATGATCATAAAGTGGACTTATAACGTTTCTCTATATTTTTCTCCAGACTATCCCCCATAATTTTAGCACCACTTTGAGGTGCATCATTGAGCAGATGTTCAATAAAATTTGTCGCATCCGGAATGTGGGGACTCATCTTTAAGGGCCACCACTTGCTTTAATAGTTATCCCGGTTCCCGATCTCCTGTCATTGGGTTACCCCTCGTCCATGGGCAGGGATATATCCGCTCCTTGGGCGCGGGATTGTGTGTGTGTGTTTGCAGCAGGTTGATTTATGCGTCGGGTCTGGACAGGAGGCAAAAATAACACAGTCAAGTGCATGGCAAACACTTGGCCCTAGACGCCGTCTCTCTGTGGCTGTGGCCACTTTTCCCACTTTTCCTTCCTTCTTTCTGCCGGTCGCCCGATTTTCCCAGGCCTCTCCTTGTGCACTCTGACCCCCTCCCTTCCGCCACTTGGCCACTACTTGCTGGCTTTTTGTAATTTTTCACATAGGCAGCCGGGCAAATGCATAAAAAGCCAGACAGCTGAGCATAAAATATTGTTGTTATATGAAAAGCAGCACCGCCACAAAAGGCAACGAGGAGTAGGAAGACTAGGATGCAGCTAAATAAGAAGAAAGGACTATCAAAAGCCTGGCCGAAGAATTTAATTCCCTTACATGGATAATAAACTTAATAAAAGTATAATTAAATTTGGATAATCTAATTAATCTTCTTTATGTTCCCATTAATCTTTCTAAGAAACCTTGCCGATGTGCAGTTGATTAATTCCATTTCCAAGCTGTAATTATATTTTATACTCTTTTATTAGTAAGGGTATTCAAAATATACTATAAGGACTCTGGGAACATCAGCTGCATTGCTGCAGACTGCGTCTGTTGCTGTTGCACTTTGAATGAATGAAAAATGAAGTAAACCCGAACTCGAACCGAACTTACTGAACTCAAGTGAACTGGGCTTGGCAAATGTCGCTTGCCAGCCAGTTAGGCTGCGTTTTGCCACGTCATATGATGGGGAAGGTAACTAAAGCACATGGAAAATAATATTTTACCAATACTTTTAAATTAAAGTTTAAAATTCTATTCTTTTAGTAAGATATTTCTTATATAAAATACATTAAAAGGGAAAATATTGTAACATTTCTAAGAACAATACATTTTCTTGTATTACGAGTGCCTTGATTATTTTTCACAGTCTTTGGTATTTCCTACGCAATGTTTAAATTTCTTTCCAGCGTCTTGGGTTGCCATAGAAATGGCTGTAAATGTTTGATAAGGAGCATCCATTGATGGAACCGGACAAAAGTTGTTAAAAAACTTTTATTAAAAAGCAGTGATAGGAATAAAAAAGGGGTTATAGCTCTGCAAGGTTTTCTCGCCAAAGGTTGTTGCCGCTGCATGAACTTCGCTCTATTTAGATTTATTCTTTTGCAAACGATATACAAAAAATGTGAAAAGAATATGAATATATTTTATGAGACATTCCACAGGAAATGCATATATTGTTTGGTTAATAAAGAACCATGAACACATATTTATACCCCTAAAAGAGTATTACAATTATAGGCAAAAGCTTGTAAATCAATGAAGGAGTCATTTCCGACCCTATAAATCACAAATATTCTTGATCAGCATAAATATTTAGTTTGATCCAAATATGTCCGTTGCGAAATTAAATTTTTAATTTTTTTTTGTGATTTTTCAAAAAATATATAAGGGGTGACATCATTAAAATTTCAATAATTGATAAAATGTATAATTTGAATTTTGAATTTCAGTATGCAGATTTATTAACCTTATAAGACCTAACACAGAACAGTTTTCCGAATTAAAATTAATGCTTTTTTGGCTGAGTTATGATCAAATACTATTTACGCCAGTGCGTATACGTAATTTTTTTTAGACTACTATAAATGGTAAAATTCAAATTTTAAAAAAGTCTTCAAAATGGGAATTTTGAATGTCTTCTTAGAAGCAGCCATAAAATAATTGCACTTCAAGCAGTGCTTTCGGTCTAAGTACAGCTCAAAAGTATGCTATATTTTTTCATTTCATGCAGACCAACAAAATTACGTATACGCACTGGTGTAAAAAGTATTACAATTTAAGGGAAAACAAAACAGCAAATTTCAGGCTAAGTTTATTGCATTCCAGGAACCAGGTTCCTGTAGTTTTAAGAAAATTATCGAAGACTAAAGGTAATGTTTCGAAAATATCTTAAACCTTGCTCTGGAAGTAGGGAAGTTATGAAAATAGTTCTTCATATATAAAAGGCCGATTATAAGTGTTTTGGTAATTTTATTATACCCTTGCAGGGTACTAAATTAGAATCAAGCTTAAAATGCAGTGAAGGAGTCATTTCCGTCCCATAAATTATATAACCATGTCCGGTTGGAAAAAAATGTCGACATTTTTTTTTAATTTTCAAAACATAGATAAGGGTTACATTTTAATTTCTAATGGAGTATGCAGATTTGTTAGCCTTTTAAAAATGAGTTCTTTTGACTAAGTTATGAGTTTTTAAAACTTTTGATTTGTCGAAAACAATATCCAATAAAAATTACGAAAATATCGTAGAACTCCCTTAAAAACTGTAAAGTATTTAAACTTCGGCTTTTGGAAGATATTTCCCTTTCTTTTTTTTTTAAATACTATAATGAGATCTTTAGAATCCTCTCAAAGTTTTCAACCAAATTCAACCAAATGAAAATTATTTGCAGTTATTCTGGATAATGAAAAATCGGGTAAAACCACGAAAACTAATATTAGCTTGAAGCCGAGCAGCTGCTCAGTGGGATCGCAGTATGTCACATCCAAGCGCTAAATTGACACGCGCCACTATTTAAGGGGAAGGTGGTATGAGGTCTGGCCTGGCCGGGATGTCGGTGAAATCGGGGGAAATGAGCTCATTGTTATGGCTGTGACTACGACCGGGGCTCTATATAGCCGACGACTGCTGACGCTCCAAATGAGCGGCATAACTCAATGAAACCCCATTGTTGGTGCGCTGATCCAGGCAGCCGTGCACATATTAAATAAGCAATATAAACAGCCCCACAGCCACGGGCAAAAGGTAAAGCGGGTCAGGTTGGGTGGTGGAAAATCGGGCGGAAAAGCGAGCCGGGCGGCTGTGGGTTTACCGCAACATAAATTATGGCAAACGCTTGGCTGCCTCATCACTCAGGCATCGCGTAGTTTGTTGCGTATTTTATTAGCCGCGTATGCGCGTCGACAGCGACTGGCATAATTTCACAGCAAATAGCTGGAAAAATTTGCATACGCAAATATGTGGGGGAATTGGGCGGGGCGTGTGGAATGGGGATCCAGGATTTCAGGATTCCCTGGGGTAGGAGGGTTTGAGGAGCTGTGAAGTAATCGTCAAGGCAATGTGCACTGCGCCTAATTGAAACTATTTGTGTGCTGCTGCTTAAATTGAGACAATTAGAAACAGCGGCGACGACAGAAGGAAAGAGTCGAACCGGAAACGGAAATGGTGAGGAAGAGCCAGAGGATGTGTGGGAAAAATTATGACCATAACACAATTAACATGTCAGAATCCCTTAATAAATTAATTACTTAATTAATTACAGTCCATATTATGAATTTTTTAAATGTTTTTCACAAACATTTCAAGTGTCATTCTGGCGAAAAAAAAGGGTTGCAAAGCAAAGTCTTGGTTGTTCTTTCGTTCTTATCTTGATTGCCAAGCAGATGCCGAGAGTTTTCAATTTACATTTCATTTACTGTCTAGCTGCGGTATGTGTGTGTGTTTGCATAGGAAATTAAATAATTGAAAAATAGTGCAAAAATAAATTAAACGTCAAGCCAAGTCGGAGACAGAGAGAGTGAGAGGAAGATAGGGAGGAAAACTGAGATTTAGGGCGTAGTAAATCTTGGGATAAGTGTCAAAAGGCCTAGAAATCTGGCTAGTTGGAAAAAACTGAAATTAAAGGAGAGAGTACTTCTGAGCTATAAACCATATTTATGTAGTTCTTGTAGCTGTATTACAAAGTTATTTTCTAGTAAGTTTAATCGTGTGGGTTTCATGAAGCTAATTAAAATATTCATATAGACAGGAAGGATAAACAACAATTCGTAAGCAGAGCTAGCACAAATATTCAACTTAACTAAACAAAAGACTGTTCCAGTTGCACGTATTTGCCAAGGAATTCTTTCAGAATATGCAATATATGCTTCAATCTGACATACACAGAGAATATTTGTGTGCGAAAGTAGGAAAAATATAGTTTATATTGGTATATTGATTAAAAAATTTCTTAAATTATGTACTAAACTATTCCAGCAGATAATTGAGCTGTTATACTACATTCTACATTTTATAAATATTCAAAAACTGCTAAATTAATACACATAACTTCAGGTTGTATCTATTCACACTTCAAATATTTCTCCACCTGTATTAGTGCATTCGCCAGTCTTTAGTTTTGGTGGCCTTCTCCTGTTCGAAGGACATTAGCATAAAAGCGTTACTAATACACAGCTGCCGAGAGGCCAACAAGAAACACTTAATGAAGCAATTTTAGGAGGCTGCTGCAGCAGCAACAACTGCCACAGATGCTGCATAAAAAGCAACAACTTCCTGCTAAAGCCAGAAAGCTCTCAACGTGTGCTACCGCCAAGGCCCAAGGCCCAACCCCAAACCTGAACCCCAACCCCAACCCGACCCCAGAGCCCACCTGCAAAAACCCCCCTTCCTGCGTGGGAGCAGCAGACTGTACTGTTTGCTTGTGCAAAAGTGTGTAC